AAGCAGCACCACCACCAGAAGAAAGAAAAACCAGCAGGAAGATGCTGGCAAAACAACAGCAGCAACAACAACAGCAAATATTCCTGTTGGCGCTGTACCAAATGGACATGTTGTTGCAGCATGTAGGCGTACACAAATTACAGCAAGGGCCTTGGTTATGGCTAAGGAAGAAGGGGAGGATTGCACCACCAAGAGTGCAATGCTATTTGCCAAGTTCACTGAATCAGAATGCAAAAGCAAAGCTCTTCGCAGAAGAGTGATGAGGTTCAGGGATAAGCTGGAGCTTGAAAAAGCAGTTGCTGGTGTCCCCTTATCAACCATTGAATATGCTTTACCACCAGACCTATCAGGCCTCACTGGAAGTGTTGGGGTCAGTACCACTGCTGCTCCTGCTGATACCTCCAGGAGCTCCAGCAGTAATAGCAAGTACGGTGATAAGGACAGTGACAACACGAATTACCAGATGAACAAGGCAACCAGTACTGCTGGCAACAGTTCTGTTCACACCAAAGGTTCTGCAAAGAAGAAGCGGAAGCCTGCATGGAGTGCGCAGTATTTGCATGCAAAGAAGGTTGAGAAGTACAACAAAAACAAGGTGAAAGATGTTGCCTACCTTTCAGTTGCCAAAAAAATCAAACAAGAACGTGCCCTGGGCAATGTGACAAACGTAAGAGCTATGGTCATTGCTCAAGTCAACAAGCTTTATAACGTTGAACTCAGTGCAGAAACGGTTTGGCGACGTTTGTGTTTAGGCCTAGAAAATATTCCCCCACATTGGCATTCAGGACGTCCCTCGACTTTGCCAGCAGTGGTGGAGGCTGCACTAGTTGATGCAATTTCCTCATACATAAACCTTGGTTGTGCTGAGATGACAGAACAACCTAATCAAAAGACAGTGACTGCCATGATAGCTTCTTGTCTTACTGGTGGACCAACCGTACTAAAGAATTTTGAAAGACTTTACGATCGTTTGTCAACTTTGTTTTCACCTCACGTCAAAATTGTTACTGGTTCATCTAAACTTGAAGATAGAAGAGCAAAGTNTACTACTACTACTACTACTACTACTACTACTACTACTACTACTACTACTACTACCACCAGCACTACTACTAGCAGTAGCCCTGCAACAACAAGAAACACTAGTAGCACAGCTTGTTGTTTAGTGGTACTAGCAGTAGTAGTAAAATTTATTCTTGTTCAGCAGCTACTGCTGCTGGTACTAATTTCTTCTTCAGATCTCATTTCTTCTACCCAAAAGCTATTGACCCCCCAAATATTTCTTTCTACCCACCAGAAGCCATTGATCCCCCCAAATATTTTTCCCAATGTGATGATATATTCTTTGTGCTAAGTTGCTACTGCACCACATATAGTAGTAGTAGTACTACTACTACTATTACTACTACTACCACCACCAGTATAATTTAGTATGTACAACCAAAACAGCAGCAACAAGTACTACTACTACACAAAAATACCAACTGTAGATGATCATCCCTCTTCAAAAGACAACACCAAAGATCCATTTCACATAAAGTTGGCTACCAGATCAAAGGTTTGAACCTTATATTTTGGTAAAACTCCTTACTGATGGGGAGAAAACACCAACAGCACTACTAATACTAGTAGTACTAGACAACAATGGTATACGCCTTGGCAGTGAATGTTTTACTTCTTCTGTTGACTACTGCTGATACTACTACTAGTACTAGAGCAAATGCTGATAAACCAGCCAATATTCTACTATCTCTACTACTACTACTAGTAGTAGGGTCAAACATGAAGGACAAACTGACACACACAGTATAAGATGGTGCAAATATAAAGTCATTCTTGTTGTTACTACATATTGATATTGTTGTTAATGTTACTAGACATTAGGTACTATTTGTAAACCATCTATACTGTTCCTACTAGTAGTACAATACAGGCTGTTGGCCAGTGACAAAGCTTGCTGACTTATGCTGCTGTATTGTCTGCATTCCTCAGAATGACACAGGTAGATCCTTTTAACACTTTTGGCAAGTTGTTCTCCAAAGACCAGCTGCTCTGGGGCCATGCTGGAGCAGTTCTTATTGTCTGATTGTTTCTGTCAATCAAAAGAAGTCTTTGTACCTATAGATCTTAGTAGTAGTAGTAGGATCTGGTACTCCCATTTTTTTCATTGGCAACATCTCTGTTTCAAATTAATTGTGCGTATCAGGAGATGCAAGTAGTTTTTATGGTTCTGGGTAGAATATCTTTTTGTGCAGTAGTCCTAGTAGTAGTACTAGTAGTCGTCTTCCTATGGTACTAGTAACACATTCTACAAGTATATGCAATTAATTGGTGCCAACAAACCAAGCACACAGGAGCAAGACATGTTGCAAAAACATGGGGGTGTTGATTTTTGGGTAAATTTGCAAAAATGATGTTTTTTCATTCTTGTTGATTTGGTAGATTTCATAGAATAGATGGTTCAATTTGGAAGATAATGAGAATCCATTTCATGTAGTACAACCCAGTGGGGTACTACTAGTATTGGCACATATCCCACACAGCAGGAAGTCAGATTCCACCATAAAACCACAAGCTATGAAGGCAATCCTCAATAATCACTTAGCATTAGTACTGGGATCTCATAGAAGAATCTGTACAGAAGCCATTTGTTGCTTGGCTGTTAGTAGCACTATTGTTGTTGTATAATGAGGACAAATCAATTTGACAAGTGGTGTGACCTACTACTAGTAGTAAAGCAGCAAATAAGAACAAACAACAATTTATACTTGCAAAGAGATTTGACAAGTAGTAGTACTAGTAGTAGCAGCAGTAGTAGTAGTGGTAGTAGTAATCAGCCAAAGTAGCAAAGAGCAAATAACAATTGATGCTTGAGAGGAGGATAATGAATGGCTGGAGCCCCAGGATCAACATCTTTTCCTGCTGCTCAACATGTTATCTACTACTAGCATAAGAACTCCATTTGCCCAGACCAGACCAGACCAGACCAGACCAGACNTTATCAACCATTGAATATGCTTTACCACCAGACCTATCAGGCCTCACTGGAAGTGTTGGGGTCAGTACCACTGCTGCTCCTGCTGATACCTCCAGGAGCTCCAGCAGTAATAGCAAGTACGGTGATAAGGACAGTGACAACACGAATTACCAGATGAACAAGGCAACCAGTACTGCTGGCAACAGTTCTGTTCACACCAAAGGTTCTGCAAAGAAGAAGCGGAAGCCTGCATGGAGTGCGCAGTATTTGCATGCAAAGAAGGTTGAGAAGTACAACAAAAACAAGGTGAAAGATGTTGCCTACCTTTCAGTTGCCAAAAAAATCAAACAAGAACGTGCCCTGGGCAATGTGACAAACGTAAGAGCTATGGTCATTGCTCAAGTCAACAAGCTTTATAACGTTGAACTCAGTGCAGAAACGGTTTGGCGACGTTTGTGTTTAGGCCTAGAAAATATTCCCCCACATTGGCATTCAGGACGTCCCTCGACTTTGCCAGCAGTGGTGGAGGCTGCACTAGTTGATGCAATTTCCTCATACATAAACCTTGGTTGTGCTGAGATGACAGAACAACCTAATCAAAAGACAGTGACTGCCATGATAGCTTCTTGTCTTACTGGTGGACCAACCGTACTAAAGAATTTTGAAAGACTTTACGATCGTTTGTCAACTTTGTTTTCACCTCACGTCAAAATTGTTACTGGTTCATCTAAACTTGAAGATAGAAGAGCAAAGTGGACTACCTATAACAATATCAACTTATGGTTCAACACTCTGAAGAGTAGGTTGATTTCTGGAGGATGGGCAAGAGAAAAGATGGCAAATGACAGTGAGGTTGAAGGAGAGCTCGTCTTTTTTGAGGGTAAACTAAATCGGATTCTAAACCTAGACAAAAGTGGGTTGACGCTGGACGCCAATCATTCTTTGAGTGGGGGTCGTTCCTCTACAAGATTCCAGTCTTCGAATCCTGCAATTGCATCAGGCGCAGATAGAACTAGGTCTTTGAATCCTGCAATTGCGTCAGGCGCAGATAGAACAAACAAGAGTAGTGTCCGCGTGACTTTTATTGCCAGAAGCACCGCTGTTGGTTCTCCGCTCCCGCCGCATTTTCAACTTAAAACGAAGGCCGAAGAAGAGGACAAAAAGATTCAAGATGCTTTCGTTGAAGGCATTCCCTACATTGAAGGTGTTTACAGTGATAACAAATTGACAGCAAACAGTATCACTGTTAACTGTAATGCAACAGCTGGGATGGATGCGAAGGAATTTCATCAGTTCATGACGGATTCTATTGTGAAACTATTTCCTGACGCAGCCGATCTGCCTCAAAAAAGAGTTCTCATCATTGTGGACAGCGGGCCAGGGCAAAAGGACCTCAACTTATTGGCGAAGCTCAAGGCACACGGGTTCTATTTGCATACTGGTGTCCCTAATACTACGCATGTCACCCAGCCCACCGATCAGAATTATGGTCCGTTTAAGTCGATGTATCGTCCGAATTTGGAGTCTCTGGTTCGTTTCCGGAGGGGACGAAAAGACAACATGAGGCAAAACGATTTTCCCTTGCTTGTTYTTGGCAATCGCATCACATCCAACGAAGAAGTTGTTTTGGAACCCGCCTTTGACAAAGCATTTTCAGTCGGAAAAAAGAAAAAAGTGAGCAAAAAAAAGAGCTCGGAAAAGCTCCGAAATAGCCATTTCCTTCGACAGAAATAGTTTTTTTTAATAAAGCGTGACAGGTTGAATCGGGAAGGCAAATGAGGTGTATTGTTCTCTCCGTAGAGCCGTGTACAATTTGTACTGACTCCGGACCTGTCACCACCTCATTTGCCTTCCAACCTCGTACTAGTAGGTACAGTACATGGGAAGTGGGCTCAGAAAAGGGATTCTGTTCCAATAGCTTCATACCAGACTATTACGAACAAGAACAATAATAGAATCAGATGTGAAAGACAAAACAAACTTTTCTCAAAGCTCCGAATCTACAACTCTGGCACTTCACGAACCCAACATTGTAGTCGTCGCGAAGAATAGGTGATCAAACTGCTATCGGGAGAGGTGTGCGTATCTAAATAATTGATAATGAGCAGTAATTCTAGGGARGACTGCGACGTTTTCGAGACAGAACGAAAGGATTATCYCTCTGATCATGAGGTATTATCAACTGACATCGGTCACAATAGTGACGAAGTTGATGCATCAGACTCGMCACAATATATTTCGATGAAAAAGAACACGGCGCTTGATTACCACGAGGACGATCTCTCACCCGCTACATCAATTAAGACCTGTCCCATTTGCTTCAACCCGGCCAAAGAATTTGTGAGCGGGCCGTGCCRCCACTCACTTTGCGTGGAATGCATGGAATCGGTGCTTTATGCCAATGGTGCTSTCGAGCGATGGCCACCGCCAGCTGCGGCCGATACGCAYCTTTCTGCTCCAACCCTCGGAAGATGCCCAATATGCAGGTCCGTATTATCCCTCTTCGAAGTTGTGAATACCAAAACACTGGAACCATTGTATCCACCTGATACCGAGTCATGGAAACCACATGAAGAAGACGAGAACTCCATAAGGAAATTGGTCAAAAATTGTTCATCTCCTTCRCATCCGCTTGAAAATGCAGTCTATATCCCCTACCGAGGCATCCCGGGGGAGCTTTCCTTTCATTGGGATTGGAGGAAACTCAAGCCACCTGACGAAGAATACGAGATCACCCAGAGGCCGTTTTTGAACCTGACTTTGGCCATTCGAAGAAGGCCACAATTTTGGCGATTAGAGGATCAGAGTATCGCGCCTCCCATTATTTTTATGGAAGAAGGGTGCCACTTTCATGAACCCTCGAGAACGTTTCACGGCACAATATTGTGGCCCTTCCCGCTAAAGGGATCATACGAATGGGACATCATACTTGGATTTTCAAAAGACTATCGATTTATATCGTCCGGTAGGATCCATCACAAGCGAGGGCGCATTTTGAAACCAGGAGATATTCCCAAGACATACACCAACGAGGAAAGGGAATTRTGCAAAAATCCTATGGATGGACGATGGACAGTCGTGTGGAAAAATCAGTTTGGAGAGGAGCAACGCAACGAAATTAACGTGATCAATAATGAATTCAAGCAGGCACGGTGGTCTTTCTATCTCAATTTTCAGGATCCCAGTAACGTATTCGTGCAATGGCCAAGATCTAAGCACCGACAGACCATCGTAGAAGGAATTGATCTTATACGAAAGCCTTTGGGTCCTCGCCCGGGCGATAAGATCAGATGGGTGGCGAGCGATCAAAATGCACCGGAACTTTTTTGGATTCGGCAGACGATCGGGCCTGTGGCYACGGAGAAGGTTCATCATTACGGGATGGGCGAAGACAAATTTCTTTACCAACGATTGGACGCTGAAATGCGCAATTGTATCCCAAAGTACAATGGTTCCTCGGTTTGGGGCAACATTTTTATCAAACGTATGTGCATTGGAAGTGCTTCGTATCACTTTTTGTCTCCGACCGACTCTTTTATTTCGTATCGACACCCCGCCTGTCGCGATTTGCCCCCCTTGGACGATGGCTCTCCGTTGCCAACCCGCGTTAATTTTCATAACGTAAAATGGAACAAAGAAGATAGGATATTGACTGCCTCTATCGAATGGGAAAAAGACTTTGGTACATCCTGGAAYGATAATATACGATGGAARYTTACAATGTATTTTGATGAAGAGTTCATGGTAATTCTAAAGGGTGGGATTCAGGTCGAATGGTGCCGCGAACGCCGMGCCCGGCCGCGCCCTCCACGTCCTGAACCRCGCCATCGTCCTGCACCTGTACCGGTATACGTGCCCCCCCCCGAAGAAAACCCGGAAACAACAGCAACCCCAGATCGCAACGAAGAGTGGGTAATGTCGGGATACGGATACGATCAAGTGTACGTCAACGCGGCAAGCTTGGAGAGATACAGAACAGTGGAAAGATGTCGTCGGSRAGATGGATTGGACTTTTTGCGTGGAGATACGGAATGTAATGAGGAAGAAATTGAAGTAGATTTCGAAGCAATAGCAGAGCTACACCAACAACGACTGGAGAAAGAGGGAGCCACCGAACGTTCGATAGGATTTTTGTCACACCTATTCAAACTGGCTGAYCACAATCCGAACGTTAACCCTATCGATTTCCTATTGTAGTAATCTAGTAAGAATAATAKAAATATCATAAAGCTGCTAGAATTTTGCGAAGTTATGAACGAAATGCAAYAATTAATTTTCATTGAAGTTTATTGAGTGAAATGCTCACGAGTCAACGGAAAGTTGCGTGCCAYACAGTGAACTGMGAATAAATTGTTGGATGAAAAGTTATCATTTTGGCGAGTTGGCGCATCAGGTTGTCGGCGTTATCGTATACGTCGCGTAATGGCTAAYCTAATCTTCTTGGTTGATTATATCTTCATCCAGCACAATGTTGGGGKTTGTTTTGCCGAAGTCTCGATACGACGACGGGTGCGGCCAATCAGGTTCCTCGTTGTCCACTATGTAGGGGCCGYACTTTCTCTTTTGTGGTYGGTCTCRTCGTTTATTTGAAGATCGATCCGTGACCTCTAATTTATCATGGCCTGCTCGTACCGAGGGGAAATACAGCATCTTGTCGCTCTCGGCAAGAAAGTCAAACGACTGCTCACCAGATTCTTCTTCTTTATCATCATCTATTGTCTGTTCGCCTTTGATTTGTTCAGCTTCGAGAGAAGCGGCATCTTGGAATTTYTTCAGCTGAGGATACTTCACTAGAAGTACCTTAATCATTTCGTCTACGGTCTCCTCAACATCGTTGTTGAWAAATACGTGATCAAAGTTGCCATCTGCCTCACCATATTCGATCTCTTTCGCGGCGTTTYCGAGTCGTTTCTGAATAGCCTCCTCAGTTTCCGTCCCCCGCCCTCTAAGACGGTTTTCTAATTCCATCATTGAAGGAGGTGCAATGAAGATGAAATTGGCCGGAAATCTTGATTCTTTCACGGAAATCACTCCTTGCACATCGATATCCAGAATGGTAATCTTTTTTTCGCTTTGAAGTACCTCGATCGCCTGTTTGCTAGTTCCATAGTAATTTCCATGAACCTGGGCGTGCTCTACAAACAGTCCTTGATCGATATCTCGCTGTATGTCCTCCGGATTGGTAAAATGATAATGCTCCCCATGAACTTCACCTGGGCGTGGCTGGCGTGTTGTGTGTGATACACTAAACGCAAACACATCGGACGGGAACCTACTTCGGAGGCACTCGATCAATGTTCCCTTTCCAACTCCAGATGGCCCACAAACGACCAGAGGGTCGAGAATGACGCTTTTACTCGCATTGGCTAGCGGATCATCCTCATCTTCGGCATCATTGGATGTTTGGATAGTTCGTCCATATGCATCTTGATATTCTTCACCACCATCACTCCCACCCAAACCGAGCTGCGAGTTGCCGTAAATATTGCTGCTACTCGAATCGGCCGAACGATGCGAGCAAGCWAACTTTGTGTCCGTGCAAAGGAAAGCGGATGCAGCTTCCAATAAGAATGGCACGACTAATATCAACGTCATCCACGTCGGACAATCGCAATGAACRTAGGGAGATTTCATGATTTGGCTCGCGGTAATGCAGCTTACTGTCTCGCAAGAGGTCAGAGTGGGAAACTCAAGTTAAATTGATTACAGCAAGTCTTGGAGTTGGTTATGGAAGCCGAAGAATCGAGTTCGGAATACCGGATTTACGCGACATGGAAGATACCGTATCGTATTGTGCGGYGTACTGGTAGACTGCTGATACCTACGAATGAATCATCGTCATCATACAGTAATCATCGTGAAACATCATCATCAATCGACTCATCAAAAATTATCAGAAGTACAGAATGATACCGGTACGTACTCGTACGTACCGTACGCTAACTTCGCCCTGATGATTTTTTTCTTCTCTACAGAGAGACTGCCATATTCTTCGATCCTCGCTACCGTTAGAGTTCTACTACGAAACATAAAACCATCGTACGAGTTTTTTGTTGGTGTCATCAACGGCGTCATAATATCGCACGATGCTGATAACCCCTTGTTCCTCGGATGGAGTAATTTGTAACTTCTGCTAGTAATCGAAGACAGGACAATGCACCAGCTCCGAACCGTTCCAGTTTACAGTGCAAGATGTCACACAAATTCGAAAAAATAGCGACATCACAAGAGGCCGTCTGGTCGGAGTTGGTCGCGTTTTGTTAAGTCTCTTSAAGCGATGTGAGTCATGAGGAGAAAGACGGCAAGGGAGAGGAGTTCCCATTCGCTACGACATATACGGTACTGTGTACCTGTACTCGTATTCAATTTTCTTCGAGAAAATTCAAAATACATCACAATCTATCAACTCTGCATCATTCTTGACAACTATGACACAGAACAATAATATCGATACCGAAGCACCGCTCTATTCATAGAACACCACAAAAAGTAAAGACAGAGCCCCTTTTTCATCAATAACAGCAAACGTCAAAWACAACCATGAAGACAACGCTGAAAAAGTCGAAATCCTTAGACTTCTGCGGAATGATCACGGGGAGGAATACCATGGATGCAACGCATCACGAAACTCGGGCCTCCAGATTCAGCCGCGAGACCTTCGCWTCCCACATGAATGACGAAGAGTAAGTTGCTGTTTTCGATTTGCATTTCAACACGTTCAAGAAAGGACAAGGTTCTATTGCTTCGTGTTTTCGAAACATGCCTCGTTCTGTTTCTATGTCCATGCATTTCTTTCGTTTGGTGTCACAGTCGTATCGTGAGGATAATTTTGAGTCCCACAAAATGTGAAACCCGAGCTCCAGAACCATGTCTATTTCTACCCCGCGTGAACGGATCACTTTTGACTTTTGATGGGTGCGTTGACGTGTTCTGCTCGCTTTCCCATTTCAAACAACACGGTACTACAGTACAATGTAGACCTACTGTATGAGTACCGTACCATGTGTTACAGAATGAAAGTACTCGAATTTTTARCAGTTCGATTGTTGATTGCTTTTGAGATGACACCCATCATCTGCGTGCGTTTGTAGTGCAAAAAACTGTCGACGCCAGCACACGGCAACCGTTWATCCACTACGAGATTACGAGTACTATTCGGACGATAATCGTAGCATATGGTGGTTCCTGGTGCGAAATACGAGTACGAGTACGAGTAGTACTCGTATCGGAATAAAAAAATGAACGGATTTCGGATTTTGAACAACCATCCATTAATGCCTGGACGAACACCGCAATGAACCAAATAATAGATACAGGATCTCCCTCTCTCACAAGTGTCTCTTCTCTACCTAYGTCTGCATACATTGCAACGCATTACTCTTTTGACATGGACAGGGGYTCTTTCGAAGGCTATAGCGGCAAAGTTGACCACATCACACCACTGATCGACAAGATATACCGCGAAGAAGTCAACGAGAAATCTTATACAAGGTCTAATGCGAATGCTCGTTCAGTTAGTCTACATCTGCACCACAACAACTTTGTGGACGAAAGAAGGAAGTGGAGTGTTGGGAAGTTTTCCGTTTTGATTCTGATAGTATTCAGCTTGGCCGATGTCATTTTTTGTATGGTTGACGCGCAAATAGGATCATTGGAAGCACACGATGATTATGATGCCCTTAGCGCCGATGTAATTCGGCCCGCATTTCGATACCGTCAAGATCAATCTTCKYATAAAGCCCGACCATCCATGGGTCTAGGAAGCGCTGCAATTTCTTCCRTTACCACAACTTTGAGTCCCATTCTCCCCTTCGCAGGCGGCATCGATCTTCGTAGAGAGGATTATTGGRCCGATGGGTGGATTGGTTCGTTTTATTCTGTCGTAGAGCATGCTCGCATTGCTTTCAAAAACTCTCCTACTGGTGCAAATCCTGCACCCAAAGACTCGATCGGAGAGGTATTGGCTACCCCAAGAGGCGGTGCSGCAGTGTCAGTTAAGACGCGAAGAAACAATAAGTCGAAGTCGAAAAAGAAGCAGGGAGCTTCGACAGCGAATGTAGACTTCATCTTATCCAACTCGGAATGTTTTGTTCCATTAAAAGAAATCGCGGAAAGCACACTAAAAGAYATTACCATGTCCTTTCGATATGCTGTTGAAAGCACCCAGAGGGAYTTCAACTCTGGGAAGTTTCTATCAGGGCTCCTCCCTCGAGTGAAGAAGATGATCGAAAGAGTTTCCACCRCTACCAATGCGGCGCGAGGCAGGGGGGTCTCGGCTCCGATCACCACTGAGCAGATYGGTCACTCTCATATTMTTGCAGGAGATATCGATGCGATTAACTTTTGTGCGGCAATGAGAATCTTCGCCGAGTGGCGCGTCCTCCGACAAGTTCCTCCCGGCTACAAAGGATACGCTGTAGGMATCGGTCTTGGCCAGAAAGATATCGTGCAAAACATTGCGAAGATTGAASTTGCCATTCATGAATATGGCGTTCATCAATCCAAGGAAAATGGTAACAAAGAAAGAGCATCCGTGRACAGCAACGAGGTCGGCTCGGAAACTATTTTCACAAGCCCAACTCTTCGTGACTTATTGCAATATGAAGTAGAGACTGATGTCCATGACAATACAAAGCTTCCTCGCTTGAAGGAGAAGAGTGCAGCGATGGGACTTTTATGGGTCCGCAGACAGCTAGAGTATCAAACGACTATATTCAACAATGTGCTTGAGGTTGGCACTAGATTTGACTCTTCCAGGGCCGCTGTACAAGCTGCATACGACGAAATATATGGAGATCTCCACGGCTGGGCTGTCCAAAAGATTTTTAGCTATAGTTTTCAAGCAGCACCCGAAGGCATTGAGATTTATAAATACATGAATCCCCACCGATTGGAAGAAGTCCAACAGGAAGCGAGGACCAAGATTATGGGAAGGCCGGGTGGAAGGAAAGGCAGAAATGSGGTCAACCCCTTGGAAAGATTCGGTAGACACGTTGYTAAGGAATGGGACAAAATTGCGAATAACGTCGTGAACGAATGGGGCAAACTTTCTGAAAATGTCGAAAACGAATGGGATAAAGTGACCGGGAACATCGGTCAATTATTTGGCCAACAGCGACGACACAAAGATCATTCGCACAAAAAACGGCAACGACTATCGACCACAGAGATGAAAGATGCAACGTCAATRACAACAACAGCAACACCAGATAATTCGATTCAGACGACCATTACCGACGAAGACGTATTGGCTCTAAAAGAACTTGAGATGGAAAATTTTATCAATCGAGAAATGAGAAAGGATGCATATGATCACATTAAAGCATATCTTGAGGTTGTTAATCCAYTGCTGGATGATCTCTCAACCCTGATTGATGAATTTAATATGGATGATCCTACAAAGGTTTGAGCTTCAATTATCATTCTCTTCTCAATTTACAACATCATCATAATACATTAGAAAATAGAAATTATCGAACACTTTTTTTTGTCAAAAATCAGTTTTCCATCTATCTACATACAATGCATTAGCAATAATGCCACCAACCCAACAAAGCTTCAGCTTCAAATTGCTTAACGAAATCGATAAGATATGATTCCATTCTGACATCCGTCATGGGARGTGTCACCCCCTGATTGCATCGATGGTGATGCTGTGATTGATTTTSATTGTTTCTCATGTGTGATTGATTTTCTTTTTCACATCTTGGTYCGGAACATTTTAATTCATTGGTGTGACAGGCCCATTGGCATATGGTACGAGTTACTTAAAGTGCTGTAGTGACTATGAGTACTCTAGCCGGTTCTGTACTATTTGTAGGAGATCCTACGGTAGACACTTTCGATCGCCAACACGAAAGTGCTTTAAAAAAATGTAGAATCTTTGACACCATTTTCAATCAATGGTGAAGGCGAACCGCAAAAACGAAACTGATCAATTATCATCAGGCAAACCGCGATCACATCTGGTGACGTGTGTCAACAGTATTGCCCAATCGTGCGTGGCCCAAGTTGTCAACAAGAACGCTCTCAAAACATKGTAACTTATTCTGGTACTAGTCGTAACACTATTCAACSATATTTTCGTTCTATTCAATTTTGTCCACAAAATTCCATCGTGTTTATTCATGGGTATTCACTCGTACTTGAACACAATCACGGTAGAATATCCTGTCTTTCCGGACCCACCAAATAGAAAAAGACTTCATCGTTAAACGCGTATCATCTCACAACGAACGAACAGCTAATAGTTCCAATCCAATTCAAAACAACTRGACAAGACATAAACRGAATGTGTAGGCCCCCCAACGCCCCGGARAAGCTCGTAGAGCCAAAAAGAAAAGAAATAGAACGAGAAAAACMAAATAGAGATGTTRCGTCTACACCAACGATCGTCGCTGTGACTGCTACATTTATTGGAGGTTATAGCTTGGGCGTCAACGACACAGATATTCGCGTCACYTTATTGATTGGTTCGTGTGGAGTTCTCATCTGCACAGTCCTTGTCAACTTTAACAATCTACAGCGATATTTCGCTCCATTCTTTCGATGGATGTCCCAAAAAACATCATATTCATCTACGTCACTGGGGAGAATGGCTTCGAAAAGTAGCGGCACTGCATTGTCGACTCTCTCACGCGTGACGTCGGTKGACGCCATCAAGAACATTTCCAAGAACTTTCTTAGTACAATAGACTGTTCAAGTACTCTTCGTTCTGCCATACAATCGATTACGCGAAAAGAATGTTTCACAAGGTTAGACTATATCGAACGCCTCTCAATTAACGATGTCTCGATTCTCTTTCGATACGCTACTAATGCCAACATAGAGGGTTTCGAAAAGACTTTATTTCTTGACGATCAAAACATGATCGTCCGATCCGTCATTAATGCCATAGATATGGCAGTAAAGGTCTCTCGTGGGTCTCTYTCAGATGGCACCAAACCGGTATCAAAAACAGAAGGGAGAGAAGGAGATTTAGACGTTTTACTCTTTGTGGCAGTTGTTCGCATCTTTGCTGAATGGAGAAATCTAAGAATGGTACCAAAAGGCTACCAAAGGTACGCAATCAATATAAGCTTGGCATACCGAGATGTGTTGCAAAATCTGGAAAAAATCGAGAGAGGTGTTCATCAGTATTTAAGACACCACCAAAGTTTGAGGGAAGGAGACAGCAAAACCTCCGCGTTGCCAATTTCTTCGCCTACCATACGACAGCTGCTTCAATTTGAATTGGAGACAGAACTTCATAAAAAACTTCCGCGTCTAAGAGATCCGTCTGCTGCATCCGGAATACTCTGGACCAAGCGACAACTCCACTATCAAACAGCACTTTTGGCCAATTTTTTGGAAATACCACAGTGTTACCTTACTCCAAAGGATGCTGCGACAGCAGCATATCACATAGTCTACAATGATTACCATGGTTGGGCTGTAAAAGGGATATTCACTCATTCGYTCGGTGGCTCGCCTCCTCTGGATAAGGTCTGGTTGGCGATCCGTCCACCAACAAATATGCCTGTTGATAGGAAACGCAAGTATCAGACTTGTGGCAAATCATGCGATTCCAACGAACGTTCAAGCAATTACCCTCCTTCTCTCCGTCCGACTTCGGATCTCAACAGCGCTTCCATCAGGTCCAACTCTTTTTCAGATTCATTGGGGGACAAGGAAGACGACAACGGTTTATTAGCAGCATTGGACAACTTTAGAGACGAAATCGTCGAGAAATGGGATGACTTGCTCCGAATGTTCAATTGCGGGAAGGAAGAAAAAAAGAAGCGCATGCAAAACTTGATCCTATCGAGTGAAAGCCACTTTAATCTACACCAGATGAATACAGAAATGGTTGAGACGTCACTTCAAAATTCCTCAAGCACGGATAGCTCAGATATCAACTCAGTAGTGACTAGCTCTACAGTCGCTTCTTCTTCTTCGTCTTCTACGGCTAGTACCTCTCTTTCTCGACAGCAAGTTAACAACCATTTGATACAACAGTCGAAGAGGGACGCCGAAGATTTTGTTCGAAATGTTATGCCCATGGTTGCCGATCTAGGGAGATTGATGGACGAGCTGAATATGAATGATCCAACCAAGGCTTGATGATAGATTAGAAAAGAAGTTGGGATTGTTTGGTACKACGAATGAAGCGTACTTGTATTATCAGCATAGTTCATAAAGCATACTTTAAGTATAGTTCAAAGAGCACTGCGAAAAGAAATATAATCAATTATTGAATATTGCTCTCCTCAAATTCATTGAATCGGACTCGTTAGAAAAGTGGGTACTTTTGGTGATGCACTCATTCAAATCGAGTGAGCTTTGATGTATCAACAAGTACAAAGATTTCGAGCACGAAATGGATTCTCCCATTCATTACGAAAAGATTTGCTTCTGTTCTATTACTCTTATGGCTAGTTCTACAGAAAGTTTAAGATGCGCAAATGTCACTGACCACTAACGCCTCCTTCCCTTTCCATTTCTCTTGCTCTTAAAGTCCCCACCATTCGATACTCGATATACTCCACTYTTCATGAATCCAATATTTGGAGCAGGGCCAAACTTCTGGAATTCGGTGTCGGTCATCGATTTTCTCGAGGAATCGTCTTTTTTCTTTGGGATGATCAGACCAGCTTGTCTTGCTTCTTCTCGTGCTTTTGCATCTCGTCTTGCTGCCGCCCTCTTGAGACCACGAACGAGAGGAAGGGGACAAGAATTTTTYTTCTTGTGTCTCCCAGTCAACTTGTAGTATTTCTCGTCCTCGTAATCTCTCTTCTGCTTCCCAACAAATGCTGTGGCACCGTAAGCTCTAATTTCTTTTGCCGCATCATGCAAATCGATCAATTTTTCCTTCTTCGAATTTCCACGGGCTTCATCCCTATTTTTGTATTCATCGCGAGGACGTTTTTTGGGTTTCGTTGAAATTGGAAACGCCGACGGGCATTTCACCACTTTAACTTCCCTTTTTTGCTTCTTCGGCTTGTCGTCTTGTTTCTGTTTTGAACTCTTTTTTGCCATCACGTTGCTATTACAAATCAAGAAAAATGCTGCATATGAATAAGATTCGAYAGATAATTTTAGTTTTTGCGAATGAGCAGCCGCAAGCAGTACCGTACATACCGGAGTAATTGTATCGCTGATACTTCTATCATACCGATTAAAGCAAGAAGCGAGGAAATCTCACGTTGTTGTTGTTGTCATCGGTAAGAAAGATGAAAAAAAACGTTGAGTCGTGTTCTGACATGACTGGATTTTCAATGATACAGAAAACATGTTTGGGTGGCTCTCTGACATCGTGAGTCCATCCTTCGTACGGACAGCGATGAAAAACCATCACTYATCACATCCCCTTCCGACAACAGAAAAAATGGTAGTCGGAATTGATTGCGGTGTGCTCAACTATCACCTTGATGTCAACATCTATTGAGGAAATTTTCCATTGTACTAGAATCAAAGTTCAAAGGCCCTAAATTATAGGTTACAAACATAAGTGTAGCGCCAACACAAGAATGAGTGGATTTGGAAGAGGTAGAGGAGGCGGTAGATTTGGCGGTCGAGGAGGAGGCCGAGGAGGAGGTCGGGGAGGAGGTCGGGGAGGAGGTCGGGGAGGCCGAGGAGGAGGAAGGTTTGGACGCGAAGAAGGACCACCCGCAGAAATTGTTGGTAAGTTGTTCCTACCTGCTACGCAATGTTATTGTTTGTCAACATAGATGCTTTTGAGACTATGGAATCGCATAATGTAATATTGCTGTTGGTGTCCGGTTGATATTCTTTTTTCTTCGTTGAGTACTCCAACTGCGACGTGAAGCWATCACGAAGTTTCCTCTACTTATCTCTAAAATTGTGATTTGAAATTCTCTTCGAATCCCATTGTACAAACTTGTAGAGGCGGGCCAAGTATTACACGATTGCGAGTCAGAATTAGTTTGTCGATGGACATTGGATCAAAAGGTTCCTTATTTCAACGCTGGAGTTTATCTAGAAAACAAACGTAAAATCGGTAAAGTTGATGAAATTCTTGGCAAGGTTGCCGAAATATTCTTCACCGTCAAAATGGATCCCGGTGTTCTGAGTAAGAGTTTCCAGCCGAATGATCTCATGTATGTAGGAACCGACAAGCTATTGCCACTCACGAGGTTTACGAATCCAGGTTCTTCCGGAGGACGAGGCGGCGGACGGGGAGGAGGCCGAGGTGGAAGAGGCGGTCGAGGTGGCCGTGGAGGAAGAGGTGGCCGAGGTGGAGGTCGAGGAGGAAGAGGTGGCCGTGGTGGAGGTCGTGGAGGATTTGGCGGAAGGGGAGGAGGTAGGGGAAGAGGTCGAGGTCGATTCTAATGTTGCAAGACATGAACGCCTTTCCATCTCAATAATATTTCGTGCATATACATTTCTCACCTAGTGAGGTAGTTCATCAAAATTAACAACTCATTACTTCCAGATCGTTTCTGCGCCAAAAATGAAGAACTACTTTAGAAAACYGYGTTCAGTACCTCTAGTATTTTAGTCAMTAACAGCCTTTATCGGTCAAAAAATATTAAGTACTTCTTAGTACATATCGAAAGGATTACCTTGTGGTGCAGGCGATGGGGCTTGAACAGTTTGAGATAAATTCTGCCCTTGCATTGCTTGTTGCACCATCGTCATTTGTGGTTGCCCATTGGTTGGAGCTTGAATCTGCGGGGGTTGTTGACTTTGCATTGGCTGCTGCTGCATCTGCATTTGTGGAAGCTGCTGTCCACCAGGTTGACCTTGCAT